AAAGGGACAAGTCTTATTAAAGGGTGTGGCAGACCCTTGGTGTAGAGCTTTCGGTATGGCCTTGTGGGTGGTGAGACCTGGGCTGATCTGAGAGCACATCATAGCATGTGCATAACCTGCGGACAGAAAGAGGCTCTCTCTGCTTCTTTCCTTTCTCTTTCAAATAGAAGAACAAGAAAGGAAGACGAAAGGGATTGCATTTCTGCTCTTTGTCCTTCTTCTGACAAGAACAGCTGTGACATTATGAACGACAAAGAGAAATAATTTACAGAGGCACTGGGCCAGATTATCAAAACTGAGTCCCTAATTTACACATGGAAAATACGTGACTTCGGAAACAATTCTTGGAGCAAATACAGATGTGCGTATGGTAGCTAGGTATCTGTGTGCAACCATTTCTGCGGTGTTTAACTCTGCCATTGCACAAATGCCCCCATGTGGAAGCCCTCTGGACACATGCAGTTATTAGCCAGGTATGGTTTCCAGACAGCTGATGTTTCAATTTTAAAACTTTCTTTACTGATAGTAAATTTGCAAACCACAAAGGAGATTATAAAGCCATAAATATGTTCTCTTCTACTTTTCCAAAGTTGTAGTATAATCTGGTAGTATGGTTTTAATATGGTATATATACCCTTTGCTGCATATACGCAATATTTGGCAAAGCTTATTCAATGTACTTCTATGAGTTTATAGTGAGAGTGCTTTTAACAGTCCTGAATCCTACAGATCTAAAAAGCAGCATAGAAAATAGCCCAGAATGGTTAACGATGGTATAAGTAGATTCTGGGTGTTCTTTTTCAGTCTGTAAGCTATTCTGCAGTAGGTGCCACTGTTTATCAACTTAGGTTCTGGTCCAGCGGTTCCTGTGACTCACACTGTAACCTCAGGGAAGTCTTGGTTTTTCTGCTACTTGTATCTGAGGGTGACATTCTTCAAGTGGAAATTGTCAGGTTACTGGTGTCAGACAATTCTCCCAGGGGCCTAGCAAGCTCCAAACCTAATTTATAAGCTAGGTACCTTTGCCAAGGTAAATTCTGGTTCCTCCAGACTAGGAACTAGTCCGTCTAAGGACGGAAGCTGAACAGTATAGCATTTACCGGCTCATGTTTCAGTGCTGGTCACCTTAGTCTCCTCCAGAGGAACTGACCATCAGTTGGGGTTTTCTGTGTGTGAAAACGACATTATGCTGGTCCTTGTCCGTTGCTCATGAGCCAGAGTCTAGGGTGAACTTGGCTAGATATCCAAACCATCACTTGGCAGACCAAGATATAGGTAAGTTCCCTGAGCCTTGGGGTTAGTTAGAGGCTCCAGACAGCACCAGGGAAGCATCACTCATGAAATCTTGGCTAGTCCTTGGTGATGAGTAGGGTGAAAGAGAGCAGCCTCTGGGCCCAGTGAAGTTCTGTTTACTAGCAGGTGCCTAGCAGGGACCTCAGGGCCCTCCAGAATTCGGGTGGTGGGGGAACAATATCACAGAAACAAGTGGAATCTCTTGAGTAAGTATACAGTCCAGGATCACATTTGGATCCTGATTCTAATAAAATGTTAAAAAAAAAAACCTGACACTTATGACAGAATTGGAAATTTGAACACTGATTATGTTAATATTTAATAAATAGTGAAGAAGATACTTTGCAATATAAAATTAATAAGGACTTATTAAGTGTGTAATAATGGTGGTCACATTAGAAGGGAAAATGCTTATGCTTTTGGGATTCATACTTGCACCAGTTATCTATAATTCAGACAACCCCAAAATATCAGTAGCATACCACAAGAAGAGTTCATTGCTCATAAGCCCGGGACACTTGGCTGGGGTTCTGCTGCTCTCGGCTGGGCCTGGCTGAGCAAATCTTTTCATTTCTGTTTGAACTGCTTGCACAGGTGTCAGCTGGCTGTCAGCTAACAAAGGATGACCTTGGAGGGACAGCCATGGTGGTCACACATCTTTGCACGGTGGGCTAGCTCAAACACGTCTCATGGTGACTGTGGAGCACAAGAGTAGGAGTGACCAGGGTCGCTCACATTGAAAACTGCACAAGGGATTTTCAAGCAAGTCTGTGCTTCTGTCACATTTACTACCATTCCACTGGCCAAGGCAAGTCACATGGTGAGCCCTCTGCCATCGTGGAAGAGCGCTAGGAAGGGGTGTGGACACAGGGGAAGAAAGGGTGCCACGTTGTGGTGCCACAGTGCTGCCTTAGGGAGGGCAGGAGCGGTTCGAGATGAAGTAAGACAATCCATGAGTTGGTCACTGGTAAAGCTGGGCAAGAATACATGAGATTCATTATGCTCTTCCGTCCACTTCTGTATGTGTTTGCAATTTTCCATAATGGGAGGGTAAATTTAAAAGGCTTCAGTTCCTCCAGTTGGGAAGACAAGAGTTCCTCCAATTGAGAATTTTGGTGTGGACACTGTTCTCCAGTGTACTTTTTTTTGTTCTTACTAGGCTAAACCAGATCATGATGTCATGATTCTTGCATATGGGGAGCTGGGCCGTGGGTGGGGAGCAGTGGAGGGAGGCGGCAGATTCCTGAACATACTGGTATCCCTGTTGCCTCTGTGTATGTCATCACAGCCCTGTCCTCATTTCCAAGTTTCAGTATAAGAATTCTTTCTACTCATGCCTGCCTACTTTTCTTATGAGCATAGGACAGAAAAACTGTATCCTTTATGGGTCATATACTATGTGATTAAACACTAATACATGTTAATTGTTTGAGCATATGACAGTTTCAACCTATTAGTTTGAAACTTTTCTTTGTCTTCCTTTCCTTCTTTCTCTCTCTTTTTTGTCTTATCATCCTTTCATGCACTTATTTAAAGAATATTTATTAAATTCTACTAAGGTCAGGGACTGTGCTAAGTGTTGGTGAGAAAAGGGTGAGCAGAAAAACAGATCTGCTCTAATTGAGTCAACAGTTGATTATTTCAAGCTCACATTTATAATCCGGGCAAAAACTCTACTGTGGCTTTGATCCATTAGAATACTATTTAATGATATGTAAATGGATTTTTCTCCCCCTTGTAACAACAGGTATTCATTACAAAATCTTCTGAAACTAAACAACCACCTTCTGCAAATACAATTTTCCATTATTCCGTGCTTGCAAACATTTTATGATTCAAGTAATAAATCAAAACTTTTTCTGAAAATAATTTTTATAGTCCAGTCTCTGAAAATTTCACCTTTGGACCACATTGAATTCATATACAGTGAGGTGCACTCAAAACCCAAAAGATGTGGGGCTGGTAATGTTCATTCTTCTGAGAGCACATGAAAATGACTAACTATATTGCTTTATTAATGCAATTTCAGTCTGAATTGGTTTTACTTTTTCTCATTTGTTTTGCCTAGAAAAATCTTATTTTGTGGCATTTTTCTCTTTTCAGTATGGTGCATTCATAAGTAGAGCTGTCATGTAGCAAGGCTATGCCAGAAGCCAACACTCTACCTGTATACTCAGGTTTGCCCTCTTAATTCACTGCTAAACTTACTCTTTCAAGTGTCCTTCTGGACTCTGGGAAACTTGAAAGAACAAGTCTGGCATAGACACACCAGAACCAGAAGAGAAGATGTTCATTCATCTTTGAAATGTAGCCAGGTCCCTGCTAATTCCAAAAGGCATCCCATTACAATAAAAGCCCTCTTTCGACAAACAAAGGTGAGCTTCTAATTGGCTTCGCACCATGATCCATGTGTAACTGCCAGCAGCCGCCAGGAAGATCGACAGCACCTACTGTGGTTTTACTTGACTGGGGAAAACTAGCCCACTGAAAACTCCAGGTAACGGACAGTCGCTTTGCAATTTTTGTTTTAAGTTAAGTTTTATTTCTGGTGGTCTGTGAAGAACTCAGTGTTTACGATCACCTTAGGAGCAGACCCTATTTTGTACCATGGCTATTGTCAAGAAGAGAGAAAGTTCAGGCTGGAGCCTGTGTGCCCTCCAGCTGGTTTCTTCCACAGAGAAAAAAACCCCACAAAACAAATGTTGAATGCTAGTGAGGGTGTGCTATGCATATGCATTAACAGTGTAAGGGCAGCTCTGTCTTCCGCTCCAGGCACTGTGGGTGAGCTTGTTAACCCTTCACCTCTGCACAGGGGGATTGGCAAGGTGACGCTGCCTGTGCCCTTTGGAATCTGCAGCTATTTGTGGTACCAATATGCTCATGATGGGCCCAGATGGTGATAAGGGATTTCAGTCATGAGCATTTTGAGCAGTATTCATATGCCAGATTGCATGGTAAAGAGAAACATTTTAGTTTTTCTAGTTAAGGGAATGGCTGTGGATGGTGGAGGCCTAGATTTCCATCTGGGCTTTGCAACTTCCTAGTTAGGGAACTAGGTTGTCAGGTCAGGCCCAGGCTGAGCTCCTTCTGGCCAGAAGGGTTTGTAGGGATATTGGCCTGATATTGGCCTGGGTAATGCAGAATTGCATTGTTACTGTAAGATATTGGAAGTGACCTGCTGCCTCCTAGCCTGTCCTCATGTACCTGCTGTCTGTGTGCCTCTAGGGCTGGGGGAGGCCATCGAGTGGAACTCACCTCCCTACCTCCTCCCCTGGCCACCAATGGAAGGCCAGTGGTGCTAAATGGCAACACAGCTCTGCACCAAACAGCAGGAGGGGCTTGCCACCGTGGCCAGCATTGGTCTGACCATGACCACTGAGCCTCAGCATCTGCATCTGCAGGACAAGAAAGGCTTTGTATATTCCTTAGCTCGCAGGGATGTTTGAAGATTGGGTAAATACTACTAGGTGGAGCATAACGTTGTGAAAAAGAGGAAGTTTTTAAAACATTGTTAATGAGGATGAGAAGGATGAAGTGGAGGAGAATGAGGGTGACATCTTTCCAAAGTCAGGCATCCTGGGGACAGGGCCCCACAGAGGTGAATTAAATGTCCCCAGGCATCCAAACATCTCTTACTTGTTTTTCAGCGATTTGGATCTTTATCTGTTGAGGGTTAGCTCCCACATCTATGTTTCTTTAAAACTGACCTTTTCTAAGGTTTCCAGCGACCTCCTGATGAACTCTTCTCCCATCCAACTGCAGCAGGCTGCGGGCATAGCGGTTCGCGTCCCATTTCCGCAGCCCTCTCTGCGCTGAGCCTTCCCTCCGCTTCTCTCTTTCGGTATACTTTTGAAATTTAATCTCCAGTAGCTTTAACAGGGTGTTTATTCTTGAGACTGAAACTCCATCTGAATGTGCGGGTAAATGTGTTCCCTGAGCCTATTGAAAACTGGCCAGTGGATAACTGCCGCCCTCTCTCCAGGCAATGCCTACTGATTGGAGTCCTGCGCCAGCTTAGAACAGGGCTCTGCGATCTGCGGCCTGCAGGCTAACTGACCGACTGCCTGTTTTGTAAATAAAGTTTATCAGAGCACAAACAGGCAACCATTCGTTTACATATTTGGGATAGCTGCCTTGTCTTACAACAATAGAGCCCAGTAGTTGCAACAGAGACCTTAGGGCCCAGAAAACCAAAAATATTTACTATCTGGGCCTTTACAGATAAAGTTTACCGACTCCTGGTTTAACAAGTGGAAAGGGTGGACTCTCAGTCACAGCTCCAGGGGTCTGGGATTTCTATTATTCAGCCTGCAGTGTGGGAAGGCCTCTTTTGGGAAATAAGAACTTTTTTCCTTAACCTCCCAAATTTTCAAGTTAGGGGGTGGAATTATTGTCCATTTATTTCCATGATGAAGAAGAAGCACGCACGGAACAGTATTTCATCAGATTTATATCAGTGTTTTCTCAGAAGCTTCTGTGGTACCCAGTTTTCAGTTAGACTTGCTGAACCTGCTAAGCCATGAGGGCAGGTTAACAAAAGCCACTTTAAGGATCATGTCACTGGCTACCATGTCCAGCTGTCCTTGGAACCAAATGATGCAGCTGTGTGCAAGTGAAAGAAGAGAAACACAGTTAGACACGGAGGCACAGTAACAGGCAGAGAGGTTCACGAGCTTGCATACGGAGACTGAGCAAAAATAACAAAGACTCAAAAGAGAACAAGTTTAAATGTAGAGAGAAACCTGTTGAAACGTGATAATAAATCTCAAACTCTTTCATGTAATAATTTCTTGGGGTCCCTTGGACCCTATAAAATATTAAGATGCAAAGGAGGGTGGCCTAGGAGGTGACGAGCTGGGAGGAGGAAGGCTGAAGGAGAAACGCGGCGGGGAGACAGAACGCATGCCGGACGGGCAGGGAGGGAGGCCTGAGTGAGGAGGGAACGACCAGTGGATGCTGCTATCCAGTCCCCTCTGGTTCTGAGAAACGTCCCGGGTGGAGAGACAGTCAGTGGGACCGGAGGCCCCAGCCGCCGACGCGCCCGGTCTGCGGAGCCGTGGCGTCCGAGGAGCCGTCGGAAGAGCCAGCAAAGAATCACTGGCTCCTGGAAGGTGCCTATGAAATCAGTGTTCAAACACCAGCTTTGCGCGTGAAAGAGTATATGCTAGGGAAGAACGGGGTGGTTTTGTGCACAAGAGGAATTAGAGGTGAGCGGGGATGCAAGTATTGCAACAATGAGGCTTAAAAATGGCTAACATGAGACCTTAGTTCATCTATGAGTGAAGCAGGCTGAGTTCAGGGGAAACTGCGCTTGAGGGGGAAGGAAATAGATTTTCAGACCCACCTGTCACCATCTATGTGAGCAGGACAGTCAGCTTCCCACAGGCCGGTGGGGGGGGGGATGGGGCAGAGACGTGGTGAAGTCCAGTGGTGCTTTGGGCTCCAGGACCGCTACCGCTTTGTGCCTGTCCCATTAGGTCTGCATTACCATGTTGGTGGCTCAAGCCCATCACTTATTTCTCCTTCTCTCTCTCTCTCTCTTATCCATCATCGGTTATCTATCTGTCTGTCTATCTATCTATCTATCTATCTATCTATCTATCTATCTATCTATCTATCATCTATCTATCTATCTATCTATCTATCTATCTATCTATCTGTCATTATTTACCTATTTACATATCTTGAATGGCTCTCTTTTCTATCATCTATCTTGAAAAATACTGCCATTGTTTGTTTTGCTTAATAGGAATAAAATGCAGTCTTTCTAAGTTTTGATAATACCGGTTGCTCTTAAGAGTTTGAAGCAGTCCGCACATCTTGGTGGCTGAGAAAATTCTGATTGTATGAGCTCTGTTTTTTTCTTCATTGTCTAGAGTGAATATAATAAGCAGGAAAAACAAATTCTAGTCAGCACAAAGGAAAACCGATACAACTTGGGGCATGGTTAAAAAAATTACATTTGGAAAACCACAGAATTTATGCATTTTGGTAAAGCCACGCTGGGGGAGATGGGAGGGGAGATCCGGGACAAAGTAAGAGAAATGCCGCCATTTCTCAGGTGCTGGGTGCACATCTGCATCAGCCCCGTTCTGGCTCACGACCACCCTGTGTCCTGCTAAGTGGAGAGTTCTGTCTGGGGGAAGCACATTGGCTCAGGGCAGGAAGAGGTAAAGATGAGACTGGGACGCAGGCAGGTGCCTTGCCGCGTCATTCCGTCATCGCCATGCACGCCGCTTCACGGGTAATTAAATCCTCAGCTAGGTTTTGGGGTTGGTGTGGCAAATGTAATGAGCAGGCATGTCGGTCTCCAGCCCTACATTCATATTCCTGCTCCACCACTTACCAGAAGAGTGCATTTGGCAACCTACTCAATTTTATTTTGTTAAACGCAGGCACACATACGCATCTCAGAGGATGGCTGTGGAAACTGAAGAAATTATACTTATTTGTTCATTATCTGACACTTAACAGGTGCCCAGGTAATAATGTTTCTTCTGTTCTCTTCATCTAATGTCCAGAGCATGAATTTTTTTTTTTATTAGAGAAAAAGTTGAGAAGAAGAGAAGGCTGGGGTGCTGGTATCAGCACATTTTCAGTTTAGCTGAAAAGAGGGGAAAATAAACCATGCATACTGACACCCTGTATTTGCTTCTGGGTGACTGCCTCCAAGGAGGCCATGGGGCATTTCCCACAAAGGAAGAGCATGAGAGATGTCAGGGAACTTGAAAGAGTGAGACCAGGTCTGGGACCGTAGGGACACTCTTGGTTTAGTAGGGTGAGAAGTCTGTCTGATGACTTCTTGCAGGACGAAGCTTGCCCGGTCCTTGTGGCAATCCCGGGTGCAGATTGAGAATCTGGTAATGATACCTGAAAGGCAGAGCTAAACCATACACCGATGCTGAGGTTTGTGACTGACTGCATGGGGCAGGAGCAGGGAGGGGAAGCAGGGGGACTGGACAGCCCCAGAGGGTGACCGAGATGACCAGGAATGATGGGCAGGTTGGTGATTCTGGGCAGTGCAGGCTCTTCCTCCCAAAGTCTTTTAATGATGCTTCAAATGTCACTCAACAGTCTAGTCTTTCCATCTTTCAGGAGGTTCCTAAAGATTCTGAAAACATACTTGAGAATTTGAAACTGTCATTTGGAAGGGTGTTATGTCTTCTTCTAAAATAAGGTCTCTAAGCGCCTCAGAGCATCAGAATATGCTGCTGTTTGTTAGCCCACCAAAATAACCGGAAACGTTCCCCTTAAAGATTTATATTTGTTCTATTGCTGCTAATAAATTACTACACAATGAGCAACTGGAAACAATGCATATTTATTATCTCACAGTCTGTGTGGCTCAGGAAATCACGGAGCAGCTTAGGGGGATGGGTCTGGTTCCTGGTGTTTCAGGATGTTTCCATCAAGGTGACAGCCAGGGCTTCCATCACTGCAGGGTTCCACCAGGGATGACATGCTTCCAGCCTCCCCCAGGTGGGCCTCCCCACAGGGCTTCCTCCCAATATGGCAGAGGCTTCCCCTCAAGCAAGCTTCCCTGACTGGACAAGAGGAAGCAACAGAAATGGAAGCCAGTTTCATCTCAGAAGGGATGTTACATTATTTCTGCCATATCTTGTTTGTTAGAAGAAAGTCAGCAGGTTCAGCCCACAGCCAAGGGAAGGGGGTGACACAAGGACATGGGTATAGGGGTGGGGACCATCTGTTTCCAGCATAGGGCTTCCATTTTGCGCTTCCAATCTGAGATTAGAACTGCTGTGCAACTTCATTATCATCATTCAAGTACCATCCAACAACCACAGATTCAGGTCCTTCTGTGCGCAATGCGGAGTAAATCAGGGAGTCTGTCCCCACCCACTGCCTTTGAAATGTGAAGTCACCATCTGAGAGAAGATCAAATGCAAACCCTTATCCTGTATGCTTTCACATGTAAGGGGAGAAAACACTTCTTAGGAGTTTGCATAAAGAAGGATAACATTTTTGTCAGATGAGAGTCCCTGAAGATATCAAGAGGATGACTTTTACTTTTCTTCCTGCAACTTTGAACAGAAGATGTTGAATCACAAGGATCTGTGCCCTTTTCGTATGTTCTACTTCCTCCTTCAAAAATAATTAGAAGCTTATTTATGGAGTAGCTCCTAACTTGTTTCTTAAGGTCCTAAACTGTTGATGGCAGTAAGAATGCTTTCCATCAAGTCATTTACTCATTAGTTTTAGAAATAATTTTAAGTACCTTCAGAATCTCTTTTCTATTACATGCATTCACATTGGTTTTGTTTCAACTACAAGCACATTTATGCATATTAGCGACTCTTTTAAATGCCTTAGGACTCTTTTGTAACTGAAAAAGGCATTTGACACAGGAAATCTTCTTCCTATAGGCTTAACCTTTAAAGGTATTAGAGATTTAGTAAGTAATACTCTAAAAATAATATCTTTAAGAGTCTGAAAAAAAAGATTTATGTAAAGAAAAAATTGCATATTACTTTATGGTTCTCATCAAACTAAACCAGAGCCAAAACAGTTCCTTGAAGAGCTTTATTTTGCTTGCCATGCATCCTTCTCAGATGAGATGACTTTTCATTATTAACTATTGGATAAATTGAATACATTTCCCTCAGTGAAGGTCACCCTTAATTACCTGGGATCTCCTAATCAAGAACCTTTCTCTCCCTTTGTTTTGAAACAGCTGATTGTCCAGAAACACTTGTATAATATGCTTTGCTTTGCTCTTTTCCCACCTGAAGTAATCAATCACCCAGTTTCTTTTAAAATGGGAATTTTTGTAATTTCTAGTGATTCAACCACTGTGGAAATGCTAAGGTAGGAGAGTGTTTGATACTTGTAAAGCCCTTCCAGATCCTTAAATAAATGATATTTTGTAAAAGCATGGTATTTTCCTGTCTAATTTTAAACTTTTTACCTTAATGAGAAATCAATTTTGCCTACATGGACGCTGTTTATTCCCCAACCCTCAGAACTGTACAGAAAAAAGCAC